GGAACCTTGTATTGGTTTACTCCTAGCTGGGCTTCCTGATGGAAACACTGAACTCTCTCATCTTGAAAGGCCCTGTCAATCCCCTCACGCCGCAGATCGTAGCCCGACACCCAAGAACATCTCCCAGCAACGATGAGATGGTAAACCGTTGGGAGGATCTTCAAGCATACGTAATGAAAAAAGAGATAGATGAAAAAAGTAGGAAACTAAAAATTGAGACTCGAAAACAACTTTTATAGAAATTTTATCTCAGCAATCACGTGACAAAATCACATTTGGCAATGACACATACCCATGAGAATCAGAATCATCTTTGTGATATAGAGAAAAGCAGCAAACATTAATAAAAAATAATGTAATAGAAATATAAAATGATAAAAAACTTACTCGTAGCGTAATATTGTGTAAACGAGTAAAAACTAATGAACACTTCAGAGATACTCTACGTGAATGGTGTCTAAAGCATATAAGAAAGTGCTACCGAGGTAATGAAATTGAAAATCCCTCAAAGACATATTAATCCTTAACAGAAAGTAATAATAAATCAGCGAGACTACTGGCCTATAAGAACTCAATGGGTAAAAGTAGCCGTCAATAATCAGGAATCCTCAAACAAGGCGACGAACAACAGTTCAATAGAGGATCACTGGACGCCACTGACTGACCTATGACTGCTTTACGAATGCTGAGATGGACTGAACTCTGGGGACGCTCCCGCATATTCCTGCGAACTCCCCGTGTATACGTTCTAAACATAATGCAATAAAAAACAGATGTTAGGTAGGTCGAAAAGTTTCTTCCAAAATACCATTTATTAAGTCACTTTTCCTTGATTGAGGATCAGGTACTTCACTTAACAGTTTCACAATATACTTATCAACTTAGATATCCAAATGACCTCCCCTCACTTGTTGGTCCTAGCACCATTTCCATTGATTTCATTGTCCTGCAACTTGATTTGTGTTTGCGCTCGTCTATAGTTTGAAGAGCTGTTTTCTTTCCTCATGTTGAACGCCTGTGAGAGAACCGAAATAGCTGTGTCAAAGCGTTCCCAGAATTTTACAATTCGTTGCCAAACCTTTTGAAACGAATAAGGGTTTCCTATATTGTGGATGAAATTCTTTCAGGATGGCAGCGAATCTCTTTGTAATTGCAGTGAGCGCTCGAGGATAGTGCAGCAGGCCGAATCCCTCTTACAAGCGTTCAGATTCAGAACTCTTAGTTCAGATTTGTTACATCCAAAGAATATGAAATTCGGAAAAAGAACGAACATAAGAGTATGTGTCAAGAAACTTATAACTTTATATATAGTGTTAACTATCCAAAAAGTCGGCTATTGTCATACAAGTAAGGCTCTCCAGATATGAAAGGTAATCTGTTTTGACAAATTTCTATCAAACAGAATGATAATTGATAGTTGATACTTCAACGGCTCGTCCTAACTGGTTGTGCGCGCATAATATCCACTTTCCGGAGATTTGCTGGTTAAGCCATTGTGGTTCCCTGGAATCCCGAGATCAGCCTGGCCAAAGTCTGTCCCAGGTCTTCACCACCATAAGCAGTCGCAGCCCTTGTGGATCAGAGGGACGATTATAGGACGATTACACCTAACATACCCGTAAGACAACCTAAAAAAGAAAAAGTACTGAAAGGACTATTACAAATGAAACCATTTCGAAAACCTTAGTTGCTATTTGCAATGGACTATACTTAGCCATCTCAGTATCGAAATTCTGAATCATTCGTATTTCAATGAACAACACGTATACAGTTAGTCACATTAAGGGTGGGTAGAGATTTTGACTAAATGATAGCAACATCTGCATACCACCGTTTTACATAAATGTGAAACTTTGACTTGCATAAAAATGACTCGATCAGTTCGTGCTTTAAACCGATCCAGATTGTTCCCTAAAATTTGGGCTAAGACTCTGCAAACTATTCGAGGAAGTGACGTAGACTGAAGTTATAATTGCTTTGCTGATGCCTCTTTGTAGATCAATAGATGTAAATGTGTGTATATGTGCATATTTGTTTTTATTGCTACAGATCCCGACATTGCACGTCTCACATTCGCCTTCTCGCATCCATCATCCAACAAGCCCTTCGAACTGCATGTGGCCTTGGGTGCTGCTTGAGGATTTTCGTCGTCACGAATGTAGTCAAATGTTGGCAAAGTCCAATCTCTCTGGAATCCAAAGGTAGGCCTCCTGGGACGCTCCCGCGTGAATTAGAAAGAGTCGATTTGTCGTAGTCAATTTTGGTACCAATTCTCAGAATCGGTAGTGATGAGAGGCTGGTGGGTTCGGAGCACAGTCGAGCCAGCGCATAGGTAGGTTCAACCGCCCGGCTACTAGAAGGGAGCATTACGACTGCCCTACCTGCCCTCTGAAGTGTGTAAAACGAATTTAAAAGGCAGAAAAACTTCCTAACATGGCAATTGCACAACATATGATATTCCATTCCAGAGCATTATGTATGTAATCATATGAAAAAGTGATAAGTATTCAACACATCAGGTAAAAAAAAATCGGAGAAGCTAATGTCTCTGAATGCGGCAAGCTCAGTGGCTTAGATACCGTTTAGTTTGGTTTGAAAAGGTCTCGACACAACTAAGCTCCCTAGTCAACCGAAGCCGCAAAATTGATACCAGAAATATCTGCCAAGAACTCCTTGCGACCAGCAAAGGCAGACAGATGCTGTGATGAGGACCTAGGAACAAACTACTACGGTTAATCAGGATTTCAGAGTGAACCTAATGGACTTGCACTCAATGATATTCATAAAGGAGACCAAATTTTTGAAGAATTAGCCGAATTCATGTGAAAATCCCAAGACTTTCGCGAATAATGTGCGCGAAGAAACACATCGAGTGAAAGGATGTTGGGATTCACATAGTATGCGATATCAGATCATGTAATAATGTAAGAAAAATACCCGGACAACGAGAACACGATGCTGAAAACGGGGATAAAAACATCGTTATAGTAAATGAACACATTGCAGTTTTACGGTCTAGTAATCGATCGCATACCAAAATCGACATACCCGAACTCTCATCCCCAGAGGAGGCAATCCATGGTTCATATACTGGCCGACAGGTGCGGTGTTGCACTGGTATTGAAGACCACCTGGTAACACGTCCTGTTGATCACTGCGGTCACTCCGATGATTGAAATTAACGAAATACCGATTTCGCTGCCCGCTTCAGCCCTCATGGTCGAATAGTCACGTTTTATCCCGCAGAAATGTGGTGAGGGCAACGATGGATTAAGCTGCGTGCTACGAGAACTGCTCTCAGCTTTTTCGGAGTTGTACAGAACGTCTTGATAATTTGTTACTGGAATTCACTCTTATACCTGATGTATTATCAGTGAAAATTCACTTATAGTATTCAACGGACAAAATGTCATGGTTGTTGAGGCGAAGAACATTCACCTTAGTTATTTAGATCACGGGAAACGTACTTTGATTAATTTGGCGCAGGTTCGCGATTTGATTTTCGAACGGCACACTTTGAATTTCGTCGTCTGCCACACGATTCGTCATGATGCCGGATAAATTCGGTAAACTGTTGTATCTAGGATCGAACACAACAGTAGGCTCTGATTTGTCTGAGATATCGTTCTCGTGCGAAAAACGAATAAAATCGAGAATTGAAAACGAAAGGCAAATACGAGTTCGAATTTATGAAATCTACGCTTTTTCATCATACATGATGTTCTGGAATTTTCACCGACGTATTTATACGTAAGTCAAGCATTAAAAAAACATACCTCAGTGGTGGTCGATATTCATTGGCACCTATATAACTATCTGGTAATGATGTTGCTGTTTGAGACAGCGACCAGAACCCTTGAGAAGGAACGGTTTCCATGTTAAATGCCGAACTGGTTGGTGAACTTGTGCCATTTGAAGAAGACGATGTTGAGGAGCTCAAGTCGTGCTGAAGCGAGAGAACTTATAACTGATACAGTTGTGAGTGCTACGTTAAACACCTACATTCTGATGTGAATGGAATTTCGATTATGTATAAGCAGGCGATTGGACCTGCGTGAATTAATATTAACTAGTTTTTCTTGTCAAAATTACACAATACAGACCTATGATGTTGGTCATAGAACCTCACATGTTAAGGCCCGAAGAAAGTGGCGTCTCTCAAAAATTCCATTTTATTTCATTTTATCTTTTAACTTTCCCTTACATGTCGAAATGGTATTAGAATAAGTACGATGACGCAATATAGATGCTTAGATACGTGCATTTGTATAACATTATAACAAATACAGGTCATATATGAAACATACTGACGTCGATACACTTGTAGAACGTCAACAGGTATTCTAACGACCACTTTCGTGTACGTTAAAGACAGGTTTCTGATTTGCCAACGATTTAAATTCAAGAGTAGAAAGAGGAACACTATGAGCATTACGCTACAGCAGAGAAATGTAAGAAGAGATGAAATGAAATGTAAATGGAATGAAATGGAACAGATATGTTAACCTAATGTTAAATCGCCGGAAATCGGAGAACTCTCCAAAATTCCACGCTATGGAACAAACTACGAAGAATGTGCCGGATATTTTTTTACACACCTGATTTAATGGTACATCCGCCATCGGCACAACAGTTGTATTCTTTCTTCCACGTTTCGCACACACTGAAAATAGCAAACTGAAGAAATATTTTTACTTTTTTATTTACTGCCGACTACAATTTTCACGGCAGGGATATATGAATACAACCACAACGATGCTGAGATAATCGCAAAACTTGGACCACAGGCCAGATCGAACCACAATTTCCCCTTCCGGGGACCCGCGCATTACACACTGCGCCACGGAGGGCCTTGCTCTGCGTCCCCTCAGCTAGTTTTCTAGCTACAAGTGCCATTAGCAATCACCCGTTAACGGGACGTGGGCTCCCAGAGAAACATTTACGTACATTTAAGTTACGTATTTCATTCTAATCCTGAAAAGAATTCTGATGAGCTAGAATTAGAACACTGATAAAGTAAGATGGAACTTGCATTTATGCTCGCTCTTCGTTTGTTTAACATCAAAGATGTTGTCCTCGCTATCAAATGGCAGAATAATCGGCTTTATGCTGAATAGAAAAAAGGTAAATGATTATAAGGAGACATCGTTACATCAAGAACTTACTCACTTACTTACAGTGATAAAATCAAAGAACATTTTAATACCAATGTTCTGCACCATATATGATCCACAATGTTTTAATACACCGGAAATCACCAGAAATACTTTAGTAGAAGAATCAATATGCAGATGGCGACACATGTTGATAGAGATCAAGTATTACTTTCAAACAACTCACAAAAGGTCAGATAGTTTTATTTAACAAGTAAATTATTTATTCTACACATTCCTTGGATCTAATTGATCCGCTGTCGTTAATAGTTCACCACCTCAGCCGAGCAATTTGGCGTTTCTCGGTGTTGAACAACCATGTTGATCTAGGTTCGTTGGCCCAGAAAAAGTAGCCACGTCGAGCAGTTCCTCATCTATACCAGAGAAACCAGTCTAGCTGGAAGTAAACCTAACCATTCTAGAGCCCTGAGAGTTGATAGTATTCATGTTTGCAGGAAAATATTTTTTATAGAACCTGTGACATCAAATGTTATTCATATCTTTAATATTGATTCATTTCGTCGAATCCATCATCTACAAGAATCTTTGCACTTAAGTGTGAAGTCGGCTACTGTTTGCATCGAGAAGACGAGCTATGGACCATGGACTCGGATCATCGGCTCTGGTAAAGACGAAGACGTCGAAACGTCAACCGAATAAAGCCAATTGATCAACCTTGTGTTAGATTCACGATTTAAACACATGCCGAATATTTTACTATCGAAGTTAAATGACGGTCGGCTTGAAAATTACTGGCTGAGTACATTCTTCTTGGCACCCCAAGATAGTTGTACGACGGCATTTCCATCTCTTCACCACTGGAAGTCATAGGTCAACACGCAAAATCGGAAACTTTCGTGAGAGATGGGTTCAAGGAAACGAGTCGAATAAAAGAAATGTGGGATCCGTGAAATGTATGATATTGGATTGGAAGTGTTTTGTCGAATAAAAAAGTGTTTCAGTTAAACTCAATGGCCTTGCAAACTGTGTGTCTGTATGCCCAGATTAATAATGAGTTGTGCGCGTATCCTTGCTAATATAGTTTACTTAATAATCGCAAAGATTTACTTACAGATAATCGCTCTGAACTCTGAAGACGCCAACATTCACCACTTCTTCACGTGAATATGGAATCTGGAGAACATTACATAAGGCTATCTTTTACATCATGAATTTCAACTTTGTTAGAGATTGTGACGGATAATGTGCAGATTTATTGCCACGAAGAAATCTTTACCATAATGGGACGTCTCTCCACAGATCTGAGACAACTAGGAAGAGGGAGAATTGTAGGAAAACCAGATTCACGCATCATGACAGAGTAGTGAAAAGTCTCCTCACATCTCTTAATGTACACATATATTCATAAATGCAACTTCCACACAAAATTGGGTTCTTATTACAACAGATCTTCCGTTTTCGGGATCTACCACAGTAAACGATTTAAACATACCCAAGTATCCCGGTCAATTCATAAAAGGAGCCAGTGACTAAGTGTGGAATAGCGGCGTTATCAAGAAAGACTGCTCGTAAAGATAGACGTTTTGTTGCTTACATTACCTGTTTACCACGTAGTTGAACAAAAATTGTTGAACATCAAGCAGAACACTAAAACATCAGTCACCATTCACTAAACAAATCTGTGGTGAACTGGGCTCAGAGTCGGAGTATCAGAGAAAGAGGACCTCCATAGAATTTTAAGCACGTTTGTTTTTCTACAGTATTGATTGGTGTGAAAACATGATTGCTTACCCTAGTGCGTCACATTTCTGAAAAAGGACCTAAGATGGTGCTTGCTGAAAAGACAGCCTGTGGGGGTCCCAACAAAAATGTGATGAAGCCATTATTTGACACGAAACTGGAAACTGGACAGTGTTTTCCTAATCTTAGGCATATCATCATTATCTACCCAGATTATTAACGCCACACGAAACATTTTGATTCACCTGATGGCACTCTGCCATACTACGACAATATCTCACAAAGAATTCATCTTACCGGACGCTGCGTAATAGTGAGAATTCCCTCAGGTAACGGTTCGCGATCGCATTCGAACGGCTCGGTTAGAGCCCAGTGATAATCCCCAGTTCGAGGTGATGAAACAATTGTCGATGGAGATGACATTGAAGCAGTCATATGAACCCTGGAAAATTAGTGAATGTAATAGAATAGTAAAACCACTTAGATATGAAGTTTGAATTGAGGGGATGAAACTAGTGCTCAAAGCAGAGATAGATTTCCAGCAATTGGAACAAGAAGATTGAAGTTAGCAGTCAGCTGCCTGCTGAACACGTCAGTTTCATTAAGGTCAACGCTTACCTACGGCACCCTTCAAAAGTACCACATGAAAATCATTCGAAATGACGAGGTGGTACGGAATGTTTCCTAGAAATGTTTAGATACATGTGAAGAAAAGTGGAGAAAAATAAAAATCACTTCCAATGAGTAAGACATTGATGTGTCGCCGATTTATGAGGTGGTCGCACCACCCACAAGTTTGGAAAACCGCAAAGATTTTACGAAGTACATTGACATTTAAAGAGTTGATCATCGATCACTTGGTAAGAAAATAATAAAAACTATGAACTATGCTAGTGCAATCGATAAAAATCCTTTAAGCGCTCACTGTTAGTTCATACATAAGTTTCACCATAATGCTTTGTTGTTAAAGACAATGATCAGGCTCAAACAGATGATTTTGAAACTTATCATCCTAGTTCTGAAAAGTCAATTCTCAGTCAACGAAGTTCAGAAAACACAGCAAAAGTAAGAGATCACTCTTTTTGAAGTGGTTGTCTTCATTACTGCAAACATTATCTTGGAATGTGGACAGCTAAATAACATCGTCCTGTATTAGAACACTGAATAAATCCGACGAACTTGAATGGATAAAACAGGTTTAATATAAGGAAATAAAAAAATACTATAAGAGAGCAGAGCGTACTCCGAGAAATTTTTTCAGAAAAGTGGAGCAGAAGCACATCTCCGGATGCAGATGTGGCAACGAGCTCAATGACAGGTCCTTGAATTTATACCGTCTCGACTGACACGACACGACATGAAAACTAACAATCCACGACATGTTAACTGCACTGAAATCAGGTTAAGATGATGCTGCTTCACAAAAAAAACTCACTTCTAGATCTGAAAGCTGCTAAGTTCACATCGGAGATTCCGAATCGGATTATTCTCACGGGTGAATGCTATCGTGACGCGACGGCACGCTGAAGTTCAGTTTAGAATGACTTGGGTTGTGCTAGATGCCCACGTCGAGCCATTCTGGGCAGAATATGAGCCAATACTGAGGAATCATTCGCTCAAAATTGCTGATATTTGCACAATATTGAGTGTGCACGTTTTTTCCGTTGCAGATGTGAACTGTAAAGACTCACGACTGCTACAATGGCTTTCTTGTGCACGTGCAATTTCAAGTACGGCGCTCCAGTGCCAGTTAGCTGACCCACTGATAATCGTGCTGATTTTGTGAGTAGGTAAAGGTACTGGGGGAAGTTGGAAAAGTACGAATGAAATTGCGCTAAATAGACCTAAGAGCGTCTATGTATACAATGTATACTTATCCGTATGTATAAATTTTATACATAGACATAGTTTCTAAAGATTGCATTACTTGATACTCGAATAGCTCGTCCTAACTGGCTGTGCGAGCCCCAGCATAATCTCCATTTTTCCGAGATTTTCTGGTTAAGCCATTGTGGTTCCCTGGAATCCCAAAGGCAGCCTGGCCAAAGTCTGCGCCAGGTCCTTGGCACCACAAGCAGTCGAATCCCTTGTTGACCAGGAGATTTGTCACTATGCGACTTTGATACCAGGACGGAGGTGGATCCTGGTATTGGTTTACTCTTAGCTAGGCTTCATGATGGAACCGCCTGACTCATTCTCAGCTTGGCAGACCCTACCAGGGGGTTAAATTCCCCGCTGTATATTGCAGCCCGACACCCAGGAACACCTCCCAGCGATGAGGCATTAAACCGTTGGGAGGAAAACCGTTGGTGTGGTCCGAAGTACGGTGGTGTGCAAAGTAACGTGTCGCTATTAAAAGGATGCGTTAACCAAACAGTGTGGTCATCAGAGAACCTCAACGTGAGTCGAAATCGGCCTCATAAACACTACCCATACCCAATGATTGTATTTGCTACGATAAATAATGCAGCGTTCTGTGTTGATCAATCACATGTGTACACATCATGCATTGAACTCATGAACATCGTCGAGACGACAAATTTCATACCTGGCCCACGTGGCCACTTGTGATACCGACACATCAAATAAATGTTCTTATCATTCCAGATAGAAAAGCGCGCAGTGCTCGGAGGTGCCTTGAAACCGGGGTCGGCAAATTGATAACAGACTTGCCTCAGAGGATAGCAGCACTGTCACGATATATCGGTAAACCACCGCGAACTATTGTAAAGTTCAAATATGTATTCAGTCACCTCCAATAATGTTTAATAAAGTCAAATACATGGTGCATCCCTCAGGGATTGATCAACGCGAGAACTTCATCCTTTATCCGTTATCGTCTTAGATAAGCCTGCCACCGTTATGAGAAACCCAGAGATGGAGTTTGTCCAGGGCATAGAGTTGGGTGGACGACCACCTATTTGTTACAGGGTACCGCTTCTTTATCGCCTTATTTTTGTTACAAGTTGATATAGCTCTAATACGAATCCGGCACTAGCCAAAACACGGGTGCTTGCGCAACGGAGCCACTCATTGAGCTCCTCTATCCGCAAAACAGCACTTTTGATATGAAGTCTCTTTAACACATAACGGACGGCATGCAAAGTACGGTGCTCATTTTCAGTTCAGCGGATTCTAGAGCTTTCTTGCCAAACTGTGCATTCATTCGATAGGTAATCGAAAGCAAATAAATGTAGCAGGGGTCAAACCACAAAAGGCCTTTGAATTTCATGACTAGCTAAAACCTATTTTGAACAAGTTCATTTCTCGTGCATACACCCTAAAATGCGACACTTAGGCACATCGCATGCATTTAAGGCAATGAAACATTGAGAAAACTATGCACATTATACATTGTAGGTATATAGTTAATGACAGTAGAATAACAAATTTGTGGCTTAGAAGCGCTTCGCACCAACAATGTTTGCGTCTATGCTCAAAACCCTTAATTTTAAATCCTCAAACTTTTAAATGGTTCTAATGAAAAACCATGCTTGGGATACCCCACTTCGATTCTGATTGATTTTATGAATACTATCCATTGGTCTTAAGTTATCCCAACAGATAAATATCCCAAGCTGTTCGTAGTTTCAAACGCGGCTATTCAGAGGTAAAGCTGCATTCCTTAAATACATGCCACATGAAAGACAAATATGGAATCAAGTCGTTCAAGCCGACCTAGAGGGTGTCGTTCATGCATGCCCGTTGACTATGCCGGTAGGGAATTATGAAGAAAACGATGTTGATGGGACCCACTGACGAGAAGTTGAACCAAGGAAGACAGCTGCACTCAGAAGTTATGACTGCCTTCTTGGCAGACAAAGTGCTTCTAACGAAAACCCACCTAGCTTATAGACCACAATAGAAGGGATGCAAAAACATTTATTTCATAAACTAAAATATGAACAAATAGTCTCTTTCCACCATTTGCAAGAAACAATGGACAGTCCACAATCGGAAGACAAACCATAAACCAACCACAGACAACTCTATAACATCTTTACCATGCAGTCATCAACAGAGATTATTTGCAAGCAATCGCAACAGATCTCCAATGCATCTAGGAAACACTAAAACTGATCACGTAGAAGTGGGGTCATTTATCTAAATTATTGATAAGAAGGTTCGTAAGAACTGGCGGAAAGAGATATGAATACTTACTAGTTGCCTAGATAGCAAGACGACAAATTGTCCTCCGACTATTCACCTTCCTTATGACCATTGTCCCCGTGCTAGTTGACTGAAGGCGACTTTCAATCTTGTAAACTTCAACAGCTGAAGCAGAAGTCTTACTTATTTGGGAACTTGGACCATAATAATAATTCCACTAATGATCGGTTATATACATGCATAACATTTTAGTTGAATATTATTACTATTCTATTCAAAATCGTGAAGACCGTGAAGTGGAACTCTGCGATTAAAAACCGAGAACGACCATAAACAAACAAGGAAGAAGTCAAGAAATTAGAAAATGTAGCAATACATAGTACTTACTGTAACGTCAGCAGATTCTTCCTTGGTCATCGAAGGCTTAGTCGAGAATTTCTATCCCACATGTGCTCGATTCAATTCAGGAGTTCCATTTATGATGATAAATGAGTACTTGATCCTGATCAACCGCTGGTAATATAAGACAGCCCAAGATATTAAAGTGTAGAAAACATGGCGGTAAACCGCTTTAACTAAAAGTAGAACGCAAGCAAAATAGAAAACCACTTACCTTCCTGCTTCGAGGGTGAACGACTTGATCTCAAGCACGCGAAATGCTGTCTGACTCTAGGAATTCCTCACTAGGAATAGATAGAACGCAAAAAATATCAAATATGTTTCTGAAACAGCGCAGTAATCAGTAAAGAAGTACTGATGGCAATATGTACCACATCGAGAGCAATTGAATAAAGTCTAGGTATAATGTATATAACGGGTTGCAAACGTATAATTAGTAGAGGAACTAGAACAGTAAGACAAATAGCGAACTTTGGCGAGTTACCGATGGCTATCTTCCCGACCTATGAGGGTCTTCATTCACAGTGAGCTAGGGTATCGCACTAGCTAGATCCTAAAACCATCCAAATCAATCAATGAAATAGAGACCACGAGTTCTGCTAAGTTGGAACATAGGTACATGCCCTGTTATTTGCAAACACGGTTCTAACCTTAACGTTGATTCAATCATGATACAAGAAAGCACGTCAGTTCATTTCAAGTTACATCAGTAGTGGTTTACAGAGTTGAATTATGCCATGGACGAGAAAAAAGCCATCAGTTTTCATGGATACCGTACCATAGGTTGTTTAGATGCTATAAGATCTAATATCTTCTCTATAAAATCAACGCTGGCAAAAGGTAAGGAAAAATCTGAAAAGACCGACTTTCTATAAACCTCGGCATAGATAGTTGATATATTTATTTATATGATCTTATAAACTGATCTTTTTTAGCTGATGCGAGATTGGTATAGGTCTTCATTGTGTTTGTGTCACTCGATCATCGATCTCTATCGAGTGGTCCCACTCGTAACATCACGGCTCTGAGGAAGGCGAAATCGCCGAAACGTCGGCCATCGACCAACAACACCAGCAACAACGACAACGACAACGAAGACCTATAGCAACCTCGCATCAGCTAAAGAAGACTAGTTTATAAGATCATATAAATAAATATAAGGAAAGATCATTTGAAATCTCTGGTTCTTCACACAACGACAAACCACCCAGGATCGATAAAGTCGCTTAGCAGAGAACGACACGTGATGATTGTGGTGGTCCTTGTGGCCGGTATGACTCATTACAAAAGGGATTATTCAAGTCTCAAAACAAATAAGTATATGTATGTTCCTAGTAAATTAAGGGAATTCCTACTACTGAAACGAACAAAAACGTATTCGTAGTTCTCAGTGAAGGAAAGTACTGAGATTAAAGAGAACAATGGAAATCTACTTTGATCAATCGCCGATGAACGACCCTCAATCTAAGCGGATTCTAGCCGAACTGCTCAAAGTGTGAAATACGCACAACGGAGAGAAAATTTAAAGTAGTAATGTTATTAACAACTTTTTGAACACGTCAGTGTTAATGGAGATCAAATCAGGTACTATCACTTGTGCCTACCAAGTGCATTCATCTCTTATTACTATGAAAAGCAAGTTAGGTGAGGTTGAAAAATTAATTGGATTAAACAAGATTAATGGAATTAAATTAGTATAAACTAGTGAGTTCATATGAGGAAAGTCCAATCTGTTCAATTCACCTACACAGATCAACCGGCCACTACGAAACCGGTGAGGAATAGAACCTCCTCTAGAAAACGCCGAGATCAAGTGGGTTCCGAAGCGATCAGCCTGCTAACGGTAAGTATTGGCAGGCACTGCTCCTTATGGTATCCTGGTTTCCGTTTTTTCTTTTAAATTTTCTCTTATTTGACCCTGCGCTATCACTGTCTCCTTTGATTACCGCACTACTCGTTCGGAAATGGATGAATTGTTGGTGTTTTGTGACAAGAAATAGAAATCAATCGGGGAATTTTTTCCTATTGAAGTATTAGACATTTTCGTTCCATCGCTTCTGTCCAAGATTTAGACTTCAAAGGCTATAAAGGGGCCCTAACACTAAGATACAATTTACTAATTCACTTAGGAGTTTAGAACAGTAGGCTCGAAGTTCTAACATTTCCAGTTTTTAGATGATTCCAGCACTCCTGTTCTACTCGGAGGAGCTAGGTTCACCAGTTAAAACTACAGATGTCTGTGTAAAAATTGTAGCCTCCCATTGTTTTGGGTTACTG